CCCCTCTTTCCTTGGGCAGCCGAACATGGCCTTTGTCTTGGCTGTGCCGTGAATGAGCTGTTATTTCCATGGAGTTAGACTCATAGACTTTAAGGTCAGAAGGGACCACCCATTATGATCATCTAGTCTGACCCCCTGCACAGTGCAGGCCACAGAATCTCGCCCACCCCTCTTAGAATAATCCTCTCACCTATGTCTCAGATATTGAAGCCTTCCAATACTTTGAAGGCCCCAACATGCAGAGAGTCCTTCAGCTGTGATCTGTGCCCAATGCTACAGAGGAAGGCGAAAAAACTCCAGGGCCTCTGCCAATCTACCCTGGAGGAAAATTCCTTCCTGACCCCAAATATGGCGATCAGCTAAGCCCTGAGCATGTGGGTAAGACTCACCAGCCAGACACCCAGAAAGTTCCCTATAATGAATGGTCAATTAGTTACCAAGATCATGTTATTTCATCCAACCATCCCCTTATCATAGAATCATAGAACTGGAAGAGACCTCAGAAGGTCGTCAAGTCCAGCCCTCCGCTCTAGGCAGGACCAATCCCATCTAAATCAACCCGGCCAGGGTTTTGTCAAGCCGAGACTTAAACACCTCTAGGGATGGAGACTCCACTACTTCCCTAGGTAACCCATTCCAATGCTTCACTACCCTCCTAGTAAAATAGTTTTTCCTAATATCCAATCTGGACCTCTCCAACCACAACTTGAGACCATTGCTCCTTGTTCTGCCATCTGTCACTACTGAGAACAGCCTCTCTCCATCCTCTTTGGAACCTCCCTTCAGGAAGTTGAAGGCTGCTCTCAAATCCCCCCTCACTCTTCGCTTCTGCAGACTAAACAGACCCAAGTCCCTCAGCCTCTCCTCGTAGGTCCTCTCTCTGCCCGGGCCCCTACCTTTGATAGGAAGGATATGATGATTACCCTTTCTGTTCACTCCCTCTGGGGCACTTGGCATTGGCCATTGTTGGAAGACAGGATAGTGGGCTAGATGGACCTTTGGTCTGACCCAGTCTGGCTGTTCTTATGTTATAACTGCAAATGATGGGGAGTTCCTGTGGTTGTGATTGGGAATAGCCTATGTCATCTGTTTGAAAGTGATTTTTGTTTGCAGTCACTGTCACCCTATTACCTTTTCTGGAGCTTTTGTCTTACAGAGAGACAATTCAAATAAATATGGACGAGAATCCACATTATAAACCAAATATCTATGCAAATACATAAAATCTCTTTTAAATTAACCTCTAGTACAGGAATAAACATTCATTGATGCATTTATAATAGCTTTCTACTGTAAATGTGTAATAAAAGCAACTTGATTAACTGTGTATATTGATCACGCAGGTAGAAAGGCCAAGGAGATCATACATGAAGCTCGGGAGAACCTGGCCCAGATGGTGGGAGGAAGGCCCCAGGATATCATTTTCACCTCAGGAGGCACAGAGGTGAGCCCATGAATCTCAGCCTTATCCTCCCTGAACTGGACGAGTGCTTATATTGTGATGTTTGAGAGAATAGACAGTAACAGCTCCTCTACATGTGGTGATGCACTCTGTGTTTTTGGGGTTAAGGTGTACTTTTTGTCGCACACTAAAGTGATACACATTAATTGATCCATGTAGAAACTGCTGGTGCACAGTAATGGTTCCCTAGTGCACTTTAACTTCGTACTGTTTCAAATAGCACTGAGTGCTTTTAAATAGAACAATTAATGTACAACAAATTAGTGCACTTGAGAAATCCTTTTCCCAATAGAGCACATTACCTCAATGCATAGACAAGACCCAAAACAATAAAGACCAGTCCCTCTTTTGTCTATTTTTATTTGAAAAGCCAGAACAGTACAACCTTTTTCCTAATCTGTGTGGTAAGTTCTAGTTCTCTGTGAAGATGTAACTAGTTAAACCAACAGAAACTGTATACTGGCATTCATAGAATCAAAGGGTTGGGCAAGACCTGAGGAGATCATCTAGTCCAATGCCCTACTTGAAGCAGGACCAACACCAGCTAAATCTAAATTTTTGTCAGAAAATGCCGATTTATCAAAACTGAAATCTGACATGGAAGCTTATCAGTGGTGACAGGAGGGTTTCTCAAGTCCAGAATGGAGTTTCTGATGAAAGCCAAAAAGGAAAGACCAACCCTTCCCAGGTATCCGATAGTCTGGTGATTAGAGCACTCATCAGGGTTGCAGCAGACCTAATTGGCATTGCAGCATGACCTTTTCTCTCAAATATAACTTGTAAATAGACATGTTTTGAAATGAGACCCTGGAGTGAAAACCATTACTCAGAGATGATGAGCACAAATGACCCCTTCCTCTCACAATGAAGATGAACCAATGCCCTTGCTAAAGGTCTTGTTAGAGGAGTTCATTTCCTATTGACATTTTCAGTTTGCCTGATGGTTATGTTTTCACAAAAAGCATTTTAAGCTCTTACTTGCCCGCAGTTAAACGAACAATTGAAAGTATAGGACTTGCACCCCTACCAGTGCTCTTGGTTATACCCTGCTCTGGTAATTTTCTTCTCATCTGTCTGCAGGCAAATAATTTAGTTATCCACACGGCACTGAGGCATTTTAGAGAGATCCAGGTGTTAGGACAGGATAGAGCTGGTGAGGATCACAAAAGGACAGCCGGGGCCATTCCTCATTTTGTTACATCTAATGTGGAACATGACTCAGTTCGTTTGCCATTGGAGCACCTTGTGAAAGAGCACATGGCAGGTGAGTACGTGTGTATTGCAGAGGAGTGTCGTTAATATATACTCCCCACCGGTTGAGCGCTGTGTTAAGCTGCTTTTCACAGCAGCTTTTGTTTCTAAGTAATAAATACAAGTCTGTCTTTCTTTGCACAGTGGACTTTTCCCAGTGCATGAAATTGAAGTTTCTGAACGGGGTGCTGGCAAAAGCAATCTTAGGCAGCATAGTCACCGCAGTTACTTTGTCAGACAGCTATGATTGAGGTCTTGTAGGGAGCACAGAGTTTGAGGAGCTAATGGGAGCACCAACGGAATTTTTTGGTTTTTTAAGTGCAGGGGAAAGTCCAATATTTTGTGCTGTTTTCTGCAGCCCCCCCACTGAGGGACTGTTTCACTCTCCTTTTCTCACTGATCTGGCTAAGTGTTGCTTTCCCTGGACAGTAAATGTAGTATTTTAGTGGCAAGTCTGAAGGTTTAGCTTAGTGTTTTCAGTCTGGGACTCTTGCCCCTTTTTCTGTTTGTCCTCTCTATTCTGCATCCATCTCATGCAGCCTCCACGTCTGCAAGCACATTCCTTATGTGGAACTAGCTGGTGCTATACCATATTTATGCCACTCATTGCTTGAAAGCTGGGTGCATTAAAGTGTCCCATTCTCCAAGCTGTGAAATGACTCTGATTAGTTTCTGGCAACCTTCCCTTCCCCCCACCCCATGCAATATGCCAACCACAGGTTTTCAAGCCAACTGCTAGACTATTCTTTCTGAGTTCTTGTTGTCTTTGCGGTGTTAGTCTGTATGATGAATCTAATTGTTTATGTTTTGCCATGCAGAAGCCACCTTTGTCCCAGTGTCCAAAGTGAGTGGGCAGGTGGAAGTTGATGATATCATTGCAGCAATCCGCACAACCACATGCCTAGTTTCCATCATGCTGGCCAATAACGAGACAGGGATAATCATGGTTAGTTGGTCCCAGGGTTTTTTTTACCATGGGTTGGAGGGAAGTACCTGTGCTACTCAGTCTGTTTAACATTTGTTGTTTTGGTATAGTCTATGCTCTGAAGTACACTCCTGCCTGGCCTTTTTTTCCTGGTCTCTCCTTCCCTCTCTTTCTTTTTCACAGTTTCCTCCCTCTTTAGTCATCCCTTCCAATCTTCCCTCCTTCTTTAGTCATTCCTTCTCACATCCCTATCTTTGTTCCTTTTCTCTCCTTCTGTCTGTCAGCCTAAAATAGTGATTCTCAGATTGTGGTACCTAAAGTAGGGATGTGAAAGGTTAACTGGTTCACCTTAACCAGTGATGCTTACTGGTTCCAGTTAACTGTTAACCAGTGGGAACCGCAGGGGGCTGCTGCAGCCCCACAGGGAGCCTGCTGCAGACAGAAGCTCTCTGATAGTTCAGAGTAGCTCCTGCCCATAGCAGGCCATGACGCCCTTCAGGCAGGGGCTGAAGCGCCCCTCTTTCCCACCTTCTCCCCCTTTAATCAGTTAACTAGTTAAACATAATGTTTAACTCGTTAACCAGTTAAACTGGGTTTTACATCCCTAATCTGGAGTATTTTTGGTGGCCTTCAGAAATTTGGCTGGTCACTTGCTGCTGGCTGCTTCTTGTTATTAGCTGCTAAATATCATTAAAATGGGTACACTTCAAGTTAGACAACCACTTGTCAGGGGGAGTTTAGATGTTCTTAATCCTGCTTCAGCTAGGGGATGGACCACTGAAGGATCCTTCCAGTCCTACATTTCTATGTTTGCTTATTACAAAAGTATTTAATATCACTTTTCTATGCAAGCTTTCCTGACGGGGATTTTGTGAGATAGTGAATGGAGGGAAAGCAGCCTGCTGATTAGTTTATAGGAAGGGAGGCATTAATGAAACATTCTAACAAGATGTGTTGCAGAGCCTGAAGAGTTTGAAATCTCAGTCACCTAAGACAGTGTTTTTTCCGGCCAGCCCATCTCAGTGCTCAGCCAGCAGATTCAGATCTTGAATCAGAACAGAATGGCCTCAGGACTACCAAGGATTTTGCTGCACACAGATGCAGCCCAAATGATAGGGAAGGGACGAGTGGATGTGCAGGACCTGGGAGTGGATTACCTCACCATTGTGGGACACAAGGTCTGTATCTATTCCCCTTGGATTTCTCTCTTCACATCACACTGGAGCCGTCCAGTCATTTAAATCATGTTTCAATACAAGAACATTTTCTTCTGAATTGCTGCCTCTTCTAAATAGAGGTTTCATATTCTCTGCCTTAGGTCTGGCAAAATAATGTCTGGTGATGGAAAGCGGTTTTCTAATTTTTTACAAAAGGGAAAGGAAAACCCAACTTTCTTAGTACAAGTGCAGAGGACAAAAAACATTCTTCAGAGAAGCCAACAATGGCTACATCAAGCTAGATAATCTTAACCCAACCAGTATTGTGGCAGGGGCTTTGGGAATCCAAATTTTATCCACGTGCTTTCTGCTTTTCTAGTTCCAAACAAGGCATGTGGATGAATGTTCTTCTCTTCTCAAGGTCATAACATGGAATTTGGGTTGATCTACTTGAGAATTGCTGACTTACACACGGCATCCACATTTCCTTCTGGCACAAATAAAGAGGGAATAAAGCAGTATTGTGGAGGATTTAGTGCATTAAACTTTTGTTCAAGTATTGAAGTTTCTCACTAGAGAACATAGTCTTTACTGTAGCCAGCGGTCTTTTGTATATGTCAGTGGTCAACAACTGGTCGATCACGGCGCCCCGAGGAGTCAATCACTGCAGTCAGCTGGCCAGGCAGCTGCCTCTCTTTGATCAAGCCCAGCTGTAGTGTGGCGCAACCTCAGTGGGTTGAACGCCATGGCCAGCCAGGCTGGAGTAAAGAGAGGTAGCCGTCCGGCCAGCTGGCCGCGGGTTCAAGCCGTGGAGGCTGCACCATGCTCCAGCTGAGCTACATGCCAGCTGGTGGGGAGAAGAGGCGCACGTGCACGCAGACGCATGTGTCCCCGGCTCTTGTCTCCTGGTCTGGAAGGGGGTGGGGCTGGGCCTGCTCTGCAGAGCCAGGGTTGGGTAGCCTGCACACATGGTATGCTGGGGACTGGACTACGCCACGCTGTTCCCTGCGGGCTGTGTGCAGGGTTGGGGAGCCCCTTTCCCAGCGCCCTGCTGCTCCTGGCCGGGCTGGAGCCAGCCCTGGGCTCTACCTGCCCTAATCCCAGCCCGAGCCCCGGAGCCACTGCCTGCAGGCAAAGAGCTGGGCCAGACAGGGAAGAGACTCTGCTCCCCTCCCTCCTTGCCACAGTGCTACTTCCGGGAGGCTGCAAGTCCCAGCGCTGCTGCCCTGCTGGTGAGTGTGCTGGGGCATAGGGATGTGGGGAGGGGATGAAGGAGGATGCAGGGGAAGGATGGGAGGAGGCTGGGCTTGCACTGAGAGGCATGGGGTGATACAGGGGATCAGGCTGGGGGGATCATGAGGCTGAGGAGAGTGAGTCTGGAGCAGAGGGAAGATGTGAGGGGGGATACAATTTTACTTTGCAGAAGCTTCACTTTCCTTTACTTGCCGCCACTTTGCCTTCCTTCCCAACTAGCTATTTGGCTGCATTCTCACCCTTCCTGCATTACTCCCCCAACCTCCTTCTGCTCCCAGACTTCCTCTCTTTCCTACACCCTCTCCTGCTGCCAAACTCTCTTCCAGACCCTGCACCCCAGCTCCTACCCAAATCCTGCATCCCTGTTCCACTCGCTGGCAGTCCTGTCCTGCACGTTGAGCCCCTCATTTTTGTTCCCAACTCAGTGACTAAGGGGGTCTGCAAAATCCACTAACTCTGGAACCCCAGAAAAGTAAATCTGGCCTATGGGAAGCCCTGAACCTCAGTCCTCTCTGTCCCTTCCCCTCACCCCATGTGAGGTATCTCAGTTGGAGGCCACATTAGTGTGGGTTGGGAGTTTGGGGAGGAGTTTTTTTGCTTCTCACTTGGTGTGATCCCCAGCTGATTTTTCTGTGGGTCAATGACTCCCAACACAAAAAAGGTTCCCTACTCCTGCCATAAATAAAAAAACATTGAAACCTTTTGTGTTGGACATAATATTTTACTTAGTTTATCAAACTTCATTTTAAATAAACATGAGAAAGTTAAAATGCTTAATCTGTGTAATAATTTAAAATAAACTGTTCTCCCCAGCTGCAGCACTAACAAAATGGCTCAGATGTAATTATGTAATTAACGGTGAGTTTTCATTAGCAAGGGGTAGTCTGCAGAAAGATTTGGAGAGGGTGGGACCTCAAGAAAGGGGTGAGGTCTCAGGGAAGAGATGGGGTGAATCCTGGCTTGCCCTGAAATTTAAGAAGTGATCTTGGGTGTAAAAGTGTTGGAGACTATGGTATATGTATACGAGAAGATTTACCCAGTGTTGCTCAGGTGCTGTGGTGGTGGGGGCCAGGCATCTTGCCTTCTCCCTGAGCTGTGAGGGGTATGCAGCCCCCCTGCTGGCTTCTCCCCAGGGTGGAGAGAGTCCATGCAGTCCATCTGCCAGCTTCTTCTCAGGGCTGGCCAGGGACGTAGGGTAGGTCACGCGGGCCACCTGTTGGTTTCTCCCTGGGGCCAGGGGGCACATGATCTACCCCATGGCTTCTCCCCAGGATGGGTGGGGGCAGCACAGGCTGACCACTGGCTTCTCCCTGGAGTGGGTGGGGGCTGCTCAGCCTGCCTACTAGCTTTTCCCAAGGGCAGGGGGGTCACGCAGCCTGGTTGCAGCTGTTCCCTAGGGCAGCAGTGGCCATGTGCCATGGTGGTACCATGCAGCAGCCAGTAGCTGCTCTCTGTATCAGATGGGGTGGCAGTCAGTGGCTAATTCCTGGGGCTGGGGCGCAGGCAGTCTCCTGTGGTCATTCGTGAGTATAACTGTCTCCTGTGCTTGCTGCCCCTTTGTGATTATTCATGAATATTAACTGTCCTTGCTATCATACCTCTCCCTTTCCGCTTAATGCAAAACATTCGCATTCCATGTACATCCCATTGTCGTGGCACAATCTAACCCTGATCTTGCTTTTAAGTTATGCTAAGAGGAAGCTGCATACCAAATTTAGTGGTCCTAGCTCTTACCATTTTGGAGTAGTTCTTGAACAGATGGATAGACAGACACTCAGCAGACACACTAACTCTCTAAAATATGTAGTAGTGCACACTGTTGGGTACAGTGAGGTGAGGACATGGCATGCAGCGAACAGACAGCTAAATAGTACTTTACTTTTCTTATACCCTCTCCCACCTTATGACAGGCATGTGTCTGCAAGATGGTACAAAAATGGAACTGGATTTTGCAACAATAGGGAATTGACTGTTACTGTGCAGGGCTAACTGGACAGAGGTGGTAAAGTGCATTAATGTAAAAGAATGGGGAAGTGCTGTGTATTATTATTATACATTATCGTGAAAGTAGGAAGGATCAGAACAGGTAGTATTCAGCAACCCTATCCAAGAGGTGCAAAGTGAAGTGGGAGGGGGAATTACAAAGAGCCTTTAGCTGAGTTTCCTTGAGTTCTTAGAGATGGTGTTTGTCATTGCAGTTCTATGCCCCACGGATTGGAGCACTGTATGTGCGAGGGCCTGGGGTTACCACTCCTCTGCATCCCATGCTGTTTGGAGGGGGACAGGAGCGGAATTTCCGTCCTGGGTAAGGTGGATGGCCGGATGGGTGAGCAGATGTTTTACTGGGTCAGTGCACTTAGAGGACTGGTGGAGGCAGCAGATGGCTGTGCTATTTAGTGGATACGCCCTCTTGAGAAGCCATGGAATGCTCATTTCCATTGGTTTTTCTGGGATGTCGAGTTATGAGAAGCTTAGAGAAAAATGAGTTAGTTTGTTAATTGCACTGAAAGTGTCAAGTGTTAGAACCTTTCCCTGCTGCTGGAGCCTTTCACTATGGAAAGGAAAGGTGCTGGAAGAGGGCTACGAGTGCCTTTCTCTGCCTAAACGAAAGGCTCAGTGCCCTTCCCCATTGCCTTTCCCTGCTATTGGAGTCTTTCACTGCAACAGAGAGGTAGTTGGATACTACAGTGCTAAAAATATCAGTGTGGAAGTGGGAGGCTCAGCTTGGGCACGCAGAAAGTCTTGCAGGTATACACCTTAGTATTCAGGAGTGGAAGGCACTGTGCTTGCTTAAGCTGTGCCTCCGCATAGGCGGTGCTGGGTCAGTATTCTAGATGCCATTGCAGTAGTAGGCATTCCCTAAAAGTCTATAAAGTTGGAAGTCTTTCCTCCATGAGAGAGAACAGTCTGATCAGCCAGCCAGATTTAGGGTCTAATTAAATTGCTAGTTAAACATATTTAATTATATTCCCAGTCTGTCTCTCCAAGAAATGTCCGAAGTACAGTGACGTTTTTTTGTGGGAGAAGAACCCTGCTACTGCTGGATACTCATTGGGGTGCATCTAGACTGGCAAGATTTTGCGCAAGAGCAGCTGCTTTTGCGCAAAAACTTGCCAGCTGTCTACACTGGCCACTTGAATTTGCACAAGAGCACTGACTTTGTAATGTACAATATCAGTGCTTCTTGTGCAAATACTTTCACACTTCCGCTCGGGAAAAAGCCCTCTTGCGCAAGAATTCTTGCACAAGAGGGCCAGTGTAGACAGGGAAGAACTGTTTTGCGCAAAAAAGCCTCGATGGCTAAAATGGCGATCAGGGCTTTCTTGCGCAAAACCGCGTCTAGACTGGCCACGCATGCTTTTGCGCAAAAGCACTTTTTGCGCAAAAGCATCCGTGCCAATCTAGACGCACTTTTGCGGAAATACTTTTAACGGAAAAACTTTTCCTCTAAAAGTATTTCCGCAAAATCGTGCCAGTCTAGATGCAGCCATTGGCGTCTTCTATCTCTTGGATCCCTAAAAACCATTTGCAGACGTCCCAGTGACAGCTTCCAAACTAGTTACTGATTTTTGCAGCCAGAGGTAGAACTTAACATGTAGGAAAAGGAAACATTGATTCTCTGGACTAAATGAAAACTATCAGTTTCCCTTACCACAACTATGAGTAAATAGGAAATTTACACAATTGTTTGTTGTGGCAATTACCCCACATGTTGCTATGCTCCCATTATTCATGCATGTGAGTGGGGCTACCACTTTTTAAACATGGGGTTCTCAGCACTCATTGATTTCCCAGGGAAGATGGAAATAAATAATTGTTGTACAAATATTTCTCTTCCAGGACAGAGAATACTCCCATGATTGCTGGCCTTGGCAAGGTGAGTTCAGAAGGAATCAGGAGAAAAAAGAAATGTGTGAGTTAATGCTGCCTGATGGACAAACATGCAACTTGTCTGCTGGGCTCCAAGTTTAAAAAAAAAAAAGCCTAACTAAGAAAGAAAAGTCAACTTATAGCAAAACAAGACTGCAGCGTAAACCCTTGTTTTCTGTTAATAGCCAAAGGAAATTTTTTAAAGATGTTCTGGGAGTTTTAGCTGAACAACTTCCCAAGCCAGTAACAGGAGTGACCCAGCTAAATTTGCACAATGCTTTGAGAATGCTGGGAAAAATGTATATTTCACATTAGTCTTGACCTTGAAAAATGGCCTTTGTAATTCATGAAAGATCTGTAATAAAGCATAGCATGATCTACTGTTCCTACTACTTCCCCCTCCTTTCCCTTTCTGTTACCTTCACTGTCCGGTTCCCCAGCACTCATGTCAGCGTTTGCTACAAAACATTTGCATTCACTTGAGGAGTAATAGCACATTCAAAAATTATATCACCCAGAGATTTTTTTATAAAGGGGCCAAACCTACATCATGGTTTCTGATGTATAGAGCTGTGATTAGGAAATGTTAGACTTGGAGGCTTACTTGCCCCCTGTGCATCTATATACCAAGTTTAAAAGAAGGCTTTGGGGAAAGGTGGGAGTCCATGACCAGTTTGATATCTGGGAAGCATTCTTCAAAGTAGATGAACAAACTGCATATTGCCTAGCACTGGTGTGGCAAGTTATCAGGAGCCTGAACACTGCACCGAGTTGTACTATAAACATGCCAAACAAAGGACAGGACTTTGCAAGGAGCTTAGCTCCCATTTAGGCATCAGAGTAAAGGGACAGATTTTCAAAGTGCTCAGTATACTGAACGTAGTACTATTGTGAAATCTTGCCCCACGCCATACAAACAAATGTGTTGGTACTTGCCTTCTAAAAGTGCTCTTTGGAAGAGAAGTGATGTGAGGGCCCAGAGTATGTGGAGTTTCACCAGACTAGGATTGGTGCCCCACTGATGGTACCAGCATTACTGTCAAGGTGACTTCCTTCCGACTGAGGGCTGGGCTCCTTAAGAATGTAAGAATGGTACATTGGATCAGGCCAAAGGTCCATCTAGCCCAGTACCCTGTATTTTAACAGTGGCCAGTGCAAATTCCACGGTGGTGGAATTAGTTCATATGTAAGCCTTTCCACTCTCAAATGCACCTCCTTTTATGGAAGAAAAGTTGTATACATAAAGGTACCTCAGTAAATGAAATGATTCCATTCTGGTTGGTTTTATGTTGGTGTACTGTACACCCACATTTATAGTCCCTGGTAAAGGCAAAATGTATCCCTACTTGGCTCAGAAGCTGAGAGTGGACGAGAAGGGATGGATCACTCAGTCCCGTTCGTTTCCTCTGAGGTTTCTGGCAGTGGCCACTATCAGAAGACAGAATACCTTGGGCTAGATGGACCATTGGTCTGATCCAGGATGGCTGTTTTTATAGTACCTTTCCAGGGGATTATTGTTCTTCTCACATGATTGTCACCAGGCCTTGTGTTACAATTGCTGAGAAACATAGCGTGCTTTTGTTTTCTTTTCCCCACTCAGGCTGCTGAGCTGGTGAACAAGAACTGTGAGGACTATGAGGCTCGCATGAGGGAGGTTCGAGATTACCTGGAAGAGAGGCTAGAAGTGAGCATACCTAGTTCCTGTTATGTTTATCTCCCTGCTAGAGTCCCTGTTTTCTGGGCAGCTTGCACAGTAATTTTCTTAGAGGAGGAGGACAAAAGAGTGTTTTTCAAAAGCAGCAGCGATTTGGAATGATGGTGACCAAAGTGTCTGGCAGGGAAATGCCCGATGGCATGCGTGGGTACTGAAATGGGAAGGAAGCAGTAAAATGTAGCAGGCTGATTGGAGAGCACATACATGGTCCTGAAGAAAGGGGGACGAGGAAACAGACTGAGAAGGGTAGAGTAGGTGCTCACATACTCTATGGGCCAAGTAAGTAGCTAGATCAGTGTTTCCCAATTTTATTTAGCCATGGAACCCTTTTAAACGCAAAATAATTTTGCAGAACCCCTCCATATATAAAACTGTTATTAGCTGAAAAAGTAGACCACAAATAAATAAGGATAATCATAAACATATGCTAAATAAGATCAACATTTAGTTTAATTGCACATATTTAAAAACAAAAATCACATTAATTAATACATATTAATTACTTTTTAAAAAAATCATAAAATGTTATTGTAATGGAATTTTCTCGTGGAAACTTTATTTTCACTTCGCAGAACCCCGGGGTTCCGTGGAACATCATTTGGGAAACACTGACTTAGTAGATAAAAAAGGGGGCTGAAATGAGAGTCCTCCTTTCGGATTATTCAGCTTCTTAGCCAGCACTGGTCCTTCTCAGCTTTCTTGTATAAGAAAGTTGCAACACCTTTCACTGGCTTTGCACTTATGGAGATGAGTCCTTTCTGATTGGTGGTATGCAGCCCTTCGATTCAGAGATGCTGTTTTGCCCTACTGCCCCTTACTTGTAGCCCTTTTGCATTGGCCCTTATGGCTTTCTGAAGCAGTGCAGGAGTCCTGGGGAGCCAGGGTTGGACAGGCTACTTCCCTGATATACTACTCACCCACTCTGGAACTCTCCCTGCAGCAGGGCCTCTTGAAAGTAGAGATGGGAGAGGGATTGTGGAATCCGCTTAGCAGGGTCTGCCGCTTCCTTGGCAACTCCTACACTAGGTTGTTTCTTGTGGCAGCCTTGGAGCTCCCTTATCCCAGTGTAGCCAGAGCAAAGTTCTTGTAGCACAGCAGAAAATTCCCCAGAAACAGTCTAAAGCTTGTTTGTCCCAGCTGGACAGCTCAGTGCTCAAATCATCAGTCAGCACAGGCTGGGTACAAGTCAAGTCACAAAAGGTTTCCCCCAAACCCTAGTGGTGAGTGGGGATGAAGGCTGATAGGGGCTCAAAGGCATGTTCCTTGTGCATTCCTCATGCCTAGCCGCCTCCTACCCAGGGCAGGGCGGTTTGCATTCATGGAGCTATTAATGTTTCTTTTATTTTCCAGGCTTCATTTGGAAAGCAAAGACTCTACCTTAACAGTCAATTTGCAGGTGCTAAGAGGCTCTGCAATACTTGTAACATTTCAGTCTCAGGGACAGGACTACAAGGTATCTCTCTTCTATCCGAGCCATGGCCATAATTTGCGTCTGTCTGGGACCCTGCTTCTCCTTCACTCTAACCTGCTGCTTCTCCTCTTGTGCTGTCAGAGTCTGAAGGAACTGTCTTCCATGGCCACCTCAGCCATGGAACATGATACCTGGCAATGCCAGAAACAGACCTGCACAATCCTGAGGAAGCAGCTTATTGATCTTGGGGGAGGATGCCAGACACGGGGATTCTGATGATTCAGCATTGTATCTCTGGAGAAGTGTGTCAGGCCATCCAGTAACATGCATGACATCTTACCTGGAAAGCAGAGAGAAAACTAGCCCTGTCAAATAAGAACAAACAACCCTGATCAGAAATTGAGCTGAAGGGGTTGTTTGAAGTGTACGGTGATCATTTGCATGTGGGAGGTTTAAAGAATGGTCCCCGTGCTGTCATTCAGGTTGGTGAGTATCCTGTGCAGAGCAAGTATCCTGTGCTTTGTCTCTTCTGCAGGGCGGATGGTGTTGTCCTGCTGCAAGACTCTGCTCGCTAGTGTTGGTGCTGCATGCCACTCGGAGAATGGTGACCAGTAAGTCATCTTGGTTGTGATACTGAGTTTGTTCTCCTGAGAGTAGAGGGGTCAGGTTGAAGATGGTTAGAGGGTTGAGTTTGCACCTTTATGAAATCATTTCCCATAATATAATTGTGCCTTCAAACAGTTTCTTTAGGATCACACAAGAAGAGCAGGTGCTTTCCACGGGGTCCAGAGTAACCCCCAGCAGGAGGCTGAAGACGTACAGTAGACATGATCGGTCACTGAGTAACTTGGATGAGTGTGACATTCGTGGGTAACTTCTCTCTGAATAAATAGGGCAGTGTAGTTTGATAGATCAAGTACTCAGGTGCAGACTCACTCTCCTGCTGTTGTGTGCCAGGACACAGATGGAGTGAGAAAGCATGTGGAAAGCAAGGAGGCTGATCTGGGGAGCTCAGCCTTTGGAGCGTCAGAATAAGAGCAGTTAGAATGGAAATATAGGGCACCACATGACCAGCTAAGCCACGAGGCAAGAAGATTCCAGATTGTTCAGAGCTCACAATTTGAGTAAGAAACTTGGGTGTTTTCACATGTTTTCAGTGTCTTTATTTTTTGTGGCACTATCACTGACTCACTCCTGGCAGCTGATATACTGCAGGCTGGGAATACTGTGGAATCAAGGTATTGAGCTCCAGTAGACAGAGGCAAGGGCAGGTATCTCACACCACCATCTTGGCACTTCCAGCTGATCAGGCTGACCAGCTCCTGGAAGAAGCCAGTGCCATTCAGCCAGAATGACAAGGTGTATAATCTGCCACTGCCCAGGCAATTCTTATTTCCCCTCTCATAGTGAGTTTTACAGGAAAGGAATGTGTTTCCTTGATGTTACAGGGTTAAACCCGCTTTCATTGTATTGCTTTCCAGACCCTCCTCTATCCTGCTCAGCTGTGGGATTCCCTATGAAGTGGCTCAGAATGCCTTGCGTCTCAGTGTGGGGCGGGACACCACGAAGGAGGATGTGGACGTGGTAGTGGAAGATCTGAAGCAGGCCGTGGCTCAGCTGGAACACAACAGTCACATAGAGATCAGGAGAGGGAACTGAGGGGGGAGGTCTCCTTGAAAGAACCAGTTTCCTTGAACAGGAGTCTCCTCTACCCTGTATCTCGTGTGTCATTGATTGGGTGTGGTAAGCAGTCTAGTCCAAACAGAAATGTTTTACACCTGCCTTGCCCTAGTGTAAATGATTACCAAAGATGCAGGGCAAGGGAGGGCGAGCTCTTTTAGACTCTTTGCATTCCTGAGGAACTGGCTCTCCTGTGTTGGGAATACTACAGCTGCTATTACATGTTCATTACTTTAGGATATTGGAGTGTAGCACGTAATGTCACTAAATTTGAGGAACTTTCAAATGCTCACTTGTTCTATGAGAAGTTAAAAACTCTGGGTTTGTGGTCTGTGCATTTGGGTTGGGGGTGTTAGTGTATTCAGGGGAGTGGGTATGATTGTGCTCAAGTATGCCTGGATAGTGCCTAAGAAGGAGAGTAGGAGTGTGCATTCAGGAGTACTCTACGTTGAAGTAGGAAGGTGCGTGTGTGTTCCTAGGATAAAGTATTTGTACATAGGAGGCTATGTGAAAATTCCAGCATTTATACTTAGGGTAGTGTAAGAAAGAACATCCATACTGGGTCAGACCAAAGGTCCATCTAGCCCAGTATCCTGTGTGGCTATTCCCTGTGGGGCTTGCACTACTGGGCTACATCTACACTGCAGGCTTCTTGTGCAAGAAATGGCCATTCTTGCACAAAAACTTGCAGAGCGTCTACACTGCACGCATGTTCTTGTGCAAGTAAGCTTACAGTAAAGCATCAGAAGGGAAAGCTTTTTGGACAAGAGTTAGTCCTCTCCCCACGAGGAATAAGCCCTCTTGCGCAAGAAGGCAGTGTGGACGGCAACAGGGGTTTCTTAAGCAAGAAATCCCTATGGCTAAAATGGCCATCAGAGCTTTCTTGCACAAGAGAGCTCCATACTGCCGTGGATGCTCTTGCGCAAAAGCACATGGCAGTGTGGACATGCTCTTGTGCAAGACCTTTTGCACAAAACAGTTCTTGCTCAAGAAGCCTGCCGCGTAGACGTAGCCCTGGTGGTTAGTGTTAGCCTCAGAGGCTTGCTGTGTCCCTCCACACAGCCTCTTTCTTAGAGGCAAGAGCTAAAGCCTACTGAGCCATACTCATCACAGACTAGTTCATACGTTTAGGGTAAAATCCCCTTTGAAGTTCTGATCTCCCTTCTCAGATTTTGAGAAGTCATGGAGAGGTTGGGGGAAACCACCCACTACTCTGGGTGAGGCTTAGGGACCCTAAGGCAGTGGCAACAGGCAGAGTTACGGCAACTCGCAATCTGGCAGCTTTTCCCTGGGCCACTTCCTCAAACAAGCTGATCTTTTCCTACCTGCTCCCCAATCCTCAGCTCACACTGCACTTCCTGTTCTGTTCTGTTCTGTTCTGTTCTCCTTTCCTTTCCTTTCCTTTCCTGGGGGAGACCTTTTAAGGCAGCACCACAGGCCTTAATTAGCTGCAGGTGTCTAATTAGCCTGGGGCTTGTAGCAAGTTCTAATTGACCCCAAGTGTCTGCCTGATTATGCTAGACTTAGGCTTGGCATTTTTCTACACAGGAAAGAAAAAGTTGTTCACCCAAGCTCTAGCATGTATTCCCTCCACCAGAGAGCAACATACAGTTGGTCTAGGTCTGTCACACCTGTCTTCCAACAGTGGCCAATGCCAGATGCCCCCAAAGTAGTAAACAGAACAGATAATCATCAAGTGACCCCTCTCCTGTCATCCATTCCCAGCTTCTGAAAAACAGAGGCTGAGGACACCATTCCTACCTATCCTGACTAAAAAGTATTGATAGACCTAACCTCCACTAATTTATCTAGTTCTTTTTCAAATGCTGTTTAAATCCTGGTCTTCACAACATCCCCGGCAAGGAGTTCCACAGATTGACTGTGCTGTGTGAAGAAAAACTTCATTTTGTTTGTTTTAAACCTGTTGCCTATTACTTTCATTTGATGACCCCTAGTTCTTATGGCAACAAGTATATAACTTTTTCTTACTCACTTTTCTCCATACCTCTCATGATTTTATAGACTTTTATCATATCCCCACTTAGTCACCTCTTTTCTAAGTTGAAAAGTCCCATTTATTTTAATCTCTCTTCATATGGCAGCTGTTCTAAACCCCTAATAATTTTTATTGCCCTTTTCTGAACTTTTTCCAATGCCAATCTATCTTTTCTGAGATGAGGCGACCACATCTGTACACAGTATTCAAGGCATACTACAGTTTTATATAGAGGCAATAAGTTACTATCTGTCTTAATTTCTATCCCTTTTTCATGTATGAGTGTAGTGCTCATTGTCATGATTATGAGGGTTAGCCAGCAGCCTGGGGATTAAGGAGTTAACTACACCTAGCCAGGTGGAGTGACCAATAGGAATGTAGGTGGGATTTTTCAAACTGGGACAAAGGAATTTGGGTTTTTTTCTTTTCTCCATTTTCTCTCTGAGAGAGTTCTCTGCAGCTACAGAGAGGGACAAGCATGTCTCTCTCTCTCTCCAAGGCACCATTCTTCATTTTCTGTAAGTAGGGTAAAGTTTAGGCAGTTTCGTTAGGTTTTATTGTGTTATGGATTGGGTATGGGATCTGAGATCTGGCCCTGCTTAAAAGATGTTTTGGCTTTTCTTTGTAACTAAGTTCTAGGCCCATGGAGTTTCTCCATGAGTATATTTTGTTACCTTCCTCTCTAGTCATTATACTTGCAACCAGAATATTGTTGTAATAATAAAAGTTCTTTCTTTTCTTTTATTAACCTGGCAGTGGTTAATGGTGTGCCCTGATTTTTGTTTAGGGGGAAGATTTCCCAAATGATCTTTCCCCTGGTTTCTTTAGCAACATTTGGGTGGTGGCAGCGGAAGTTTTATTCCCAAGATCTAGGTTTTTAAGATCTTGGGGGAAGTTTTATACCAAAGCCTGGTAGATAAGGCTTTGGGGTACACTTGCTGGCCCCCACTTCTGCATTTATCATGCCAGAGTGGGGAAGGAGCCATGACACCCTTGGTTTTGCGTGTCTCTCTGCAGGTGGTCAAGGACATCAACAGGGTGCTGCTCCGCAGAGCCGTCCACCTCACCGACCTGGACGTGGTCAGCCAGGGGTTTGGCACCCTCAGCTTTCCCAACTGCAAGGGGGCAATTGACGGGACGCACATCCCCATCCATGCCCTGGACCACCAGGCTTCCCTCTACATCAACAGGAAAGGGTACTTCTCCATGATCCTGCAGGCCGTGTCTGATCACCGGGACCAGTTCTCGGACATTAATGTGGGCTGGTCCGGCAAGGCATATGACGCGCGGGTGTACCACAACTCCTCCGTGTTCCAGAGGCTGCACGCTGGGACTTTCTTCCCCGACCACAACATCAGGGTCGGGGACGTGGACATGCCAGTGTTCCTGGTGGGGGATGCGGCCTACCCCCTACAGCCCTGGCTGATGAAGCCGTACATGGGGCATGGGAAAGATTCACCCCCCAGAGAGGGGAAACAAGAGCTTATCTCTGTGAGCCCTGGGGGAAGGGATCTTGAGGAGGCAGGAGCAGCCAGCTGCCGCTCTCCCTCCCCCCCCCCTTGGCCTCAGTGGAGGGCAGCCCTCCTCCCTGCTCACCACTGTCTTCTGTGTGGGAAAATGCCATTAAGGCAGACAGACCTCTAACTGAGAAAGAGATGGAGTTTCTCCTATGGATGCAGCAACACCCAACGAGAAGCCAAGGAGAAGCGCGACCAATGAGAAGTGGAGGTGAGGCTAGCTGCAATAGCAGCAGAGACAAGGTGAGCAGAACTAGAGACCCAAGCTGCACCTGAGAAAGCTAAGCAATTGGACACTCCAGGTACCCCATCCAACAATCCTGCCTCCATCATCATTTAAGCCCCTAGGAGACTTCCCATGTACCAAGTACGGGATAATGTTGAGGACTTTTCCCTCAACTTTGAGAGGGCCTGTCAGGGGTACAACATTCCTCCTGATCAGTACATGAGAGAGTTAAGATCCCAAATCGCTGGTCCCTTACTGGGGGTAGCCGCGGACCTGCCAGGTGACATGGCAAATGACTATGAACTGTTTAAGCAGGAGGCCAGACTCAGGATGGGCCTCACTCCTGAATAGGCCCGGTGTCGCTTCAGGGCCTCCAAGTGGACCCCAAATACACCGTTCCCCGAACATGCCAGTCGTGTCCTCAAAAACTGGGAAACGTGGCTCTCTGGAGAGCAGGCCCACACTGGGGAAGAAATCTCTCTCCTGATGCAGATGGAACAGTTCCTCGAGGGTGGTCCAGGAGAGATTAGAGGGTACATCCTGGACGGAAAACCAAAAAACCTCAGAGAGGCAGCAGTGCTTGGGGCCAGATGGATGGAACTGAGGGGCCACAGCAGCCTGGAAAGCAGTCTGAGGGGGCCCATCAACACCTGGGGATCCCCCCGATCCCCACCTCGCAGAGACGGGCCCTATATACACCCAGGAAGACCCCAGATTTCTCCCCGTTCCTCCATACCATCTGCTGGGAGCCCCTCCCCCCGTTCCAATGATACCGCTGGGAGGCGATGCTTTAAATGTAATGGACTGGGGCATGTAAAGGCCGACTGTCCCCAGAGCACCAGCCGGCTACAGCTCATCACTCCGGGGTTGCCACAAGGAGCCTCAGGCCCAGATGCCTCACTGATCCCCCTAGAGCGGAGGGAGACTGTGAGAGTGGGGGGACGGGAGGTTATCGCATGGAGAGACACCGGGGCACAGGTGTCAGTGATTCACCACGCTCTGGTGGACCCCAAGGCCATTGACCCAGAGACTCTAGTTACCATTCAACCCTTCAAGGCTGACCCCTTCGACCTGCCTAAAGGATTGGTCCCAGGACTGACTCTTTGGGGAACACCACTAGATACCCCTCTCCAATCTGAAAATTTACAATTTATTCCTACCCCTTGTTTCCTGCCTTTTAACCAGTTCTCAATCCAAGAAAGGACCTTTCCTCTTATCCCATGGCCATGTAATTTACACAAGAGCCTTTGGTGAGGGACCTTGTCAAAGGCTTTCTAAAAATCCAAGTATACTGTATCTACTGGATCCCCCTCGTCCTCATGTTTGTTAACCCCTTCAAAGAACTCTAATAGATTAGTAAGACAGGATTTCCCTTTACAGAAACCATGCTGACTTTTGTCCAACAAATTATGTTCTTCTACATGCTTCACAATTTTATTCTTTACTATTGTTTCGACTAATTTGCCCGGTACTGAAGTTAGACTTACTGGTCTGTAATTGCCAGGATCGCCTCTAGAGCCCTTTTTAAATATTGGTGTCATGTTGGCTACCTTCCAGTCATTAGGTACGGAAGTCATTAGGTACTGGAAGCTTACCTTTGTCCCCTCCACTTCCTCCCCCCCATGGGGTATAGATGTCCCAGTTCCCATTGCTGCTTCTATGTGGCCATTACACAGTATAGCTGTCCCTGCTGGCAGCCCCCTTGCTTTCTGTGTTCAGAACAATCTCATTCCAGGCACATCCCATTGTCCTTGCACAACCAAACTTTGACTTTAATAAGTTATAAGAGGAAGCTGTCTACCAAATGTAATGGTCCTAGCTTTTCCTGTGTAGGAGGAGTTCTTGAACAAAGAGATGAACAGACAGACTTGCTCACTCACAAATTCTAACGCATAGTAGATGAAATTAGAGACTTGTTTATATGTGCACATAGTATTTGTAAGCTTGAACTAGAACAGTAAACCAAGTAAGGCAGTGAAATAGCTACTCCAGTGTTTCTCAAACTAAGGGCCATGGCCTGGTACCGGGCCTCAGCGTGGCTGCCGGGGTGCTCCGGGCTTCCAGAGTGCCCGTGCGGTGCCGGGTCCCCCAAGCCCTGAACCAGGCTGGGTAGAGGATACAGCCGGGTATTCCAGGCTCTCGGCACAGAGGCATAGTGCCGGG